TATGATGGATGATGAAGTTGATAGGTTTAAGCTTAGGTGTCTAGGCTAGCTTATGCGTACCTTAATCAATTCACATGACCTTAAAGTTAATGATAGGGTAATCCTCCAATTACCATCCAACCAAGGAAAATCGAACTTAGGGCCTTTCGGCCTAGGAGTCCCTATTCGATCACTTGGCCACCCAAGGGTTGATTGAGTATTGAATATTTGAGGTGAAGGAAGGGTGAGAAAGGTAAAAAAAGAGAATGGAAGGGTGAAAAAGGTCTCTGAGCCTGTTTGGGTAAACTTATGAAAATTAGCTTATAAACAATTAGTGTTTATAAGATAATTTGAGCTTATAAACATTTAAAATTTAAGTATTACATGTTTGGTTAAAGTATTTAAAAATGAATGATAAGTTGTTTACAACGTTTGATAAAATGTGGCTTATAAGTACATTTATTATTAAAATGACTAAAAATGATACTATATTATTTTGTTAAATACTAAATTATATTAACTTAATTTTTTATTATAATATTATCAAAATATATTTCGATCATATTACAATATAATATAATTTTATAATTAATTAAACAAATACTTTTTAGACAAATATTTTATTAAAAGTTTATGCAATGAATAGTGATAGAAGCGTGAGTTGTTTGAAATATAAAAATAAAGTTATATGATGAAATTTTAAAATTAATTAGGAGTAATATAACAATATACTTGGTCAAAGTAGTTTATAAGTTGAGTGTTTATAAGCAAAAAAAAAAAAAAAAAGGGTAGGTTCCTCCGAACTTTTTTTTTTGGCTTTTTTTTTTTGGCTTATAAGCTCAAAAAAGTTGTAAACAAACAGATTAACTTGATTTTAGAGTTTATAAGCTGATTTGAATAACTTATAAGGTTAGACAAACACCCTCATAGTCATTTAGATAATTTTTTTTATATTTATTTGTGAAGTGATACTATATCGATCCAAGATTTATCTCACAATCTTATGGCAATTTATTATAACCATTATAAAGAATATAACCTTAACTAATACTATGTTGATAAAAAATATATCTTATGATCTTATGGCAATTATTATAACCATTATGAAGAATACAACCTATTTATATAATAATAAAGATGAACCTATAATTCAATTTTACAAATTTTTTCTTACAACTTCAACATGACAATTTGTAATTAGTTAGCTTATAATTGGGTATATGAGACCCATTATGAACTGATTGATTACAAGCTGTCATGTCTGGATTGTGAGAAAAAATTTGTGAGATTTGATTATAAATGCAGTATTACTCTTTACATAAATATTCCAATATTCACACCTTAAAATTATGTTATGATCTCATTACTAAGAGTACAACCATATAATGACGAATTTTGGATACATATTTTATACAATAATGCTATGCTTACTCACGAGTTTACTAACTGCCTTACTACCTTTGTTAAAATTACATATGGTACCCGTACTATACGTATAGTACCCGTAGTATGCGTTATATTTACAAAGGATAATAAGATGGTTATTATATTTACAAAGGATAATAAGATGGTTAGTAAGATCGTGAGTAAGCATAGAGCTGGGCATTTGGGATAGAGCCCAAAAGCCCAGCATCAAAATCCGGTCCTAGGAGGCCTGGTCCCAAAACGAGACCAAGCTTAAGGAGGAGGGCCCGGGCCTGGGCCCAAATTTTTTTTTGTATTTTCTCCTTTTAGTCCCCTGTAAAATTACATTAAACCCCATATTAATTTTAAATAAGTACAAATTATAAGGGCTAAAATGAAATTTTATAAAATTTATTTAAAAAAAAAAGTATTTTAACTTTTTATAACCGTTGGCTGTCAACGGTCACAGTAGAGTAGCCAACGGTTATAATTATATTATTAATTAAAATTTTTTTTTCATTCCCCCCCCCCCCCCCCCCCAACTACACTATAATAACCCTAAAATCTTTCATTTTTTTCACACCAATCAATCTCTCATTCTTTCATTCTCTCAATCTCTTAATCTCTCTACTATAAATCTCCAATCAATTTCTCATTCAATTTATATTTATAATTTATTCATATTATTTATTTATATTATTCAATTTTTTTTTCTATTTTTCAATATCATCATTCATCATAATTTCATATTATTATTTAATTTCTTTTCATTTTAATTATTTATTATTTTATAATAAATTTATAATGTCTTTCCCAAATGAGTTTTACGTTCCATCCATCGAAGAAATTGAAGGCTTCAATCCATTTTCACCATTTCCTCCAGAGGAAGCAGCTACAATTCCATAACCATATTCGGTCGGGACGAGGTGTAGCCAAACACATGCGAGCTGCGAGTCAACAGGCACGGACATAGCCCAACCCCCCCGACTATCAAAGAGGGTCATGTCCGATGTCTGGTGATACTTCACCAAATCAAAACAGCCAAAGACAAATGGAGAGGGGGAAGAATTGTGTGGGATATGTAATTTATGTGGAACCATTATTGGAGCTGAGAAGGGGACTTCGACGATGCGACGACACGTAGAGAAGAAGCATCCCCAAATAAATGCATCTTCAAGCGGATCAGGTAGACAAATTCAAACTCAACTTAATTTTAATCCACAATCCTCAACTCTCTCAACATGGCAATACAATACACATGTTGCACGAGAGGAAATAGCAAGATATATAGTTGCTACGGACTCTCCCATTTGTTATCTGAAAATCCTTGTTTTATTAATATGGTTAAAACTGCATTTTGTCCAGCATATACCCCTGTTAGTAGAAGTACAAGTAGAAGAGATATACTAAAACTTTATAACAAAATAAATAATAAACTTAAAAACGAATTTCAAAATTTTAGGAATATATCTATTGCACTTACATCAGACATATGGGCTTGTAGATCAAAAACCGATTTTTTAACTGTCACAGTACATTTCTTAGATCATAATTGAGGTTTACAACAAAAATTGATAGGTTTTAAACCATTATATGAAAAACATAGTGCTGAAACTATTTATTTTACAATTCTTAAAGTTTTGCAAGAATATTTATTAACTGATAGAGTTGTAGCACTAACGCTTGATAATGCAGCTGCTAACACCGCGACAATATCTTAATTTGAAAAGAAATTGGATCCGTTTGGTGAAGGCAAATTTTATCACCAGAGATGTGCTTGTCACATCATGAATTTGATAATTAAAGCAGGTTTAGATGCTATACATTCAAAGATGGAGAGGGTGCGTAGAGCTATCGGATTTATCGTCGGCGGTAGCAATAAAAGATGGCAGGAGTATGTCAAATATTGTAAGTAAGAGGAGCCACCGGTTTGACCTTTGAAGTTATGTACGGACATGCCTATCCGTTGGAACTCTACCTACTTGATGTTGGAAAAAGCTTTGCCAACCGCGAAACAAATTACAGATTTCGTCAACCGGAAGAACTATCCAGAGGAAGTTGTCAACTATGATGATTGGGCGGTTTGTGAACTTTTTTATTCATTTCTTAAATTTTTTTATGATGCTACTAATACATTAAGTGGTATTTATTATCCAACTATTAATTTAGTGTTAGATATTTTAGTTCAAATTGCTAAAACTTTTGCTCAATATAGATATGATAATATTTTAAGTGAAATTGTTTTAAGTATGGAAGAAAAATATAAGAGATATTGGTTAGATATTCCATTCTTATATGGATTAGGCCTTTTTCTAGATCCTAGGTTTAAATTATCCGTAGTTAATGGTGTAATTACTGAGTTAGGCCATCATTTAGGATATGATTATACGTCTTATTTGACTAACTTTAAACACAAATTAGATAGACTTTTTTCTTTATATGATAACAGGAACAATGGAAGTGGAAGTGAAACGTCTAGGAGAGGCGATCAGGACCTTGATGCAACCCCCCCTCAAGGATCGAGCAAGTGGGCGTATGTGGAACGTGGCGGAAGCTCCAGCTTGTACATACATAAACCAAATGAGATGACTCGCTACCTACAGATGGACCTGACCTTTATGACGATGAACGAGAAACTTGACATGAATATTCTTCAATGGTGGAACCAACATGAAAGTCGATTTCCCATTATATCCTAAATGGCACGTGACATTTTATCTGTGCCGGTTTCTACAATTGCATCCGAGTCAACATTTTCAACGAGTGGTTGGATTGTTGAAGACAGAAGATGTTCTTTAACCGATGAGATGATTGAAGTGATAACGTGTTTACGGGATTGGACTTATGTAGAAAGAAGACTACAATAACACCCCGAAGATCCCGAACTACTCAAACTCTTTAGGAATACAGATTTGAAGAACGTAACTAGTGTTGACGATGAAATTGAAGATGAATAATTTAATAAAAAAATGATGTAATTGTTTATTTGTGAAGCTTGAATGTATGAAATGTGAATATTACATTTATGTTAAAAATTAAAATTAACTATTAATTTATTATTTTTTAAAATTAATTAAATTTTTAGAAACTTACTAATCAACTCCTAAAAAATACTAAAAATCCCCTATAAAACTTCATTTCGCCTCTAAAATATAAAAAAATATCAAGGGAAAAAAATTATCCAAACCCATAGGACCAGTCCCAACCAGGCCTAGGGCTTGGTCTGAGTCCTGATTTTTCTCATAGGCCTGTGACCGGTCCCAGGCCCATGAATGACTGATCCTATTTGGGACCAATCCCAAACGGGCTCAAACTTAGGCCCGCAAGGGACCGGTCCCTGCCTAGCTCTAAGTAAGTATATCATTACTCTATTTTATATAGTTCAATCTTACATTTCATGTTATTAACATAATATTCCTGTTTCCAAAATTAAATTCAGGAATAATTCTAAAAAATCCATAATGAAATGATTGACTTGGACTTAGTAGGCCCCACAATATGGTGACATGGCATAACATTCACGTTGACATTTGACCATTCCTCACAAGCAGGGTCCCACACGTTCCCACAACACAAAATATCAATCTCCCCCAATCCTCAACAAACCCAAAAATAAAAAGGCACCAACAATTCTCAAATCTCTCTCTCTCTCTCTATAAAACTTTCTCTCTCTTCGATTATCGAAACCCAAACCATCGAAACCCTAACCCTAGTCCCCAAATCTCACACAATATTCACTCGGAAAACGCCGATTCAGCTGCCGTTTCGCTTGACGATCGGAGAGGAAGTCATCCGAGCGAGTTGTGTTCGTTTGAAGCCATGAACAAGGTTTTGATAGAGCTTATATTATGATGATAAGACGTCTAGGGTTCTGTTTTAATTGCATGGGGATTGACTTTGAGCAATGCCTGAGCTTCGTAAAGGGGTACGCCAAGGCCGAGCTGGTACTTTAGCTGCTGCTCCTGCTGCTGCTGCCGGTACTGCGACCAACCCTATCGTCAGGCGGAACCGCGTGAAGTCACGTGCTGCGGTCGCGAGGGAGGCGGCGGCGGCTCAGAGGGAGAGGCCGAGGACGAGATTAGCTGCGAAGAGATTGAAGCAGCAGGAACATCATCAAGAAGAGAAGGAGAACCAGCAACAACTGGTGATTGTGATATCGGAGAAGGATAATAGTGAATTGGAGAGAAAGGAAGAAAAAGGCAAAAAAGGAATCAATAATAATAATAACAACAACAAAAAGATGGGTGATGATAGTGGTGGGTTGAGCGCTAATAAGGCTGTTGGCCAGGAAGAGGAGGGCAGTACGGCGCCGTTTCCTGAGAGGGTATGCTTCTTGTTCGGTTTTGTAATTGGTTGTTTTCGTGATTTTGTGAATTAGGTTGGTGTTATTGCGGTTGTTTACTTATTGATTTTTTAAGGGAAAAATTTCATCTTCCGTTTGTTGGGTGTTGAAAACTGAAAAATTTTGGATATGAAGTTGGTTAATGTGTGTAGATGGTGTTTGATTTTGGTATATTATGGCTCGCATTTTCCCTTTTGGGGTGTTGTTTGGGTGTTTTATTAGCAGGGTTTGGTGTTACAAATTCCAATTAGTGGTATCTGCGTTCTTGTTGGTGTTTCATCCGAAATTTGGTTGTATTGTGTTTTAGTTTGAAGTATTTATTTTAATTTCTTTTGTGGCATTTCATTCCTAATAAGTTTTTGAGGTTTGTTTTGGTTGGTGTTTTGTTGTTTGAAGGTTTCCTTTCGTTTTGATGCGATTCTGATAGTTTTCTCTGGTGAAATGTGCTTCTTTTTCATTTTAAGTTTTCATGAAATGGTGTTTTTGTTTGTATTTTATCCATTATCAAGTATAGATTTGTTTTGGAACTATTATTGTGTTTCAGTGTCCTCTTGTGGTTTGCACTTAAAATAGTTATGCTGTGTTCGTTTTACGGATGAGTAATTGTTGTTTGTTGTGGATCAGTGTCAGAATTAGATGATATTTGGTAGGTTTTGGTTCTGTCATGTCACCATTTGTTAGATTGGACTATATTGATTATGTTCTATCTTCTGGCTATCCCTTATTATGCAATGATGTTAATGGTACAAGTTTTGTTAATTTTTTATTTATTCCCTTTTTCAAGGTTCAAGTAGGAGGGTCACCTGTATATAAGATCGAGCGGAAGTTAGGTAAAGGTGGATTTGGTCAGGTCTTTGTTGGTCGTCGTGTTCATGGTGGAACTGATCGCACGTCAGGTCCTGGGGCCATGGAGGTAAAATTAATTTTAAGTACTTTTTTGATGAGAAGTTCATGATATCAGATTTTTTATGTGTTGTATATGATTAATCTTGTCTTCCTCCATTCTACTTGTGTTCTTAGGTAGCTCTGAAATTTGAGCACAGAAACAGCAAAGGCTGTAACTATGGCCCACCATATGAATGGCAAGTTTACAAGTAGGTGCCCTTTTTCCCCTTGATCTTTTATGGGCTTTTCAATTTCAAGTTTTTTCTAACTTATGAATTGAGTTTACTTTCATTTCATTCTTATATTGGAAATTTTTTATGAACAGCACTCTTGGAGGTAGTCATGGAGTGCCAAGAGTACACTACAAAGGAAGGCAAGGAGACTATTATGTAATGGTATGAAACAACCCCATATCCTTTTATTCTGCATGATAACTTACTGCCATTTGTTTGACTTTTGTCCACAAATTTGCAGGTTATGGACATGTTAGGGCCTAGCTTATGGGATGTGTGGAATAATTCAGGGCAGGCGTGAGTATCCATGCTTTATGTTTAAGTCATTGTCCCTTTTCTTACATGGATTTTGTGTGATCTGCTGATGTTTGGTAATGATCTTGAAAGTTCATTTTTGAGTCTCATGAATCGCTAAGTTGGCATGGTAGTTGTGGGATTTTGATAGGCTTATACTCCAAGGCTTTTCTTGCAAAGCCTGTGGAAGGTATTCAGGGCTCAACTTTGAGCCTTGCTATAAGCAAGGCATTCGCCACAAAATTCAGTGCTGTAATGAATATAAGCCATCATGTAGTTGAAGCTTATAGTTCGATATTTATGGCAGTCATGAAAGCAGGTGCCTTGATGTGTTTATAAGAATATGAGATGATTTAATCTAGGATTACAATATCCTTCGACAACTAAATCCCTTTTTGGTAATATACTAGAGAAAGTTCTTTTAATTTACACAACTAAACAATCAATAGAATTTTCTTGAAAGTTCTATATCTATAAAATCTACTTTAATAAACCTCCTTTAATAAGCTCTAGTTGAAGATGTTGTACCAAATGGACCTCAAGTGTATTTTTGACCTTGTTGGTTCTTCTTGTTTGTTTACAGAAACCAATTTGAATGGCTATTTTGTTCTTATAGTTTTCAAGTGCAAAGGATTATATACTTGATTATATTCTGAATGCAACTAATAGAATTTAAGCAAAAAAAAAAAAAAAAAAAATTTTTTTTTTGGGGTACTAGTATGATATTCTTTTGTTGGACAGGATACTTTATTTAGTCAGAATTATAGTAAGGGCAGCTGTGCTCGTATTCTAGTCTTTTCTGTTGGCCATTTAGGAGTTTTATGTCTACCTAGCGTCAGTTTCTTCTCCATTTTCCTATAACACCTTTTATTAATTACAAAGTAGATGTTTTAGACATCTTGCTTTTTATTAACTGACCTAATGCATAGACTCCTTGTACTCATAAATTTTGTTTCTTATTGATTTTGTATGTAGTATGAGCTCTGAAATGGTAGCTTGTATTGCGGTTGAAGCTTTGTCAATCCTGGAAAAGATGCACTCCCGAGGGTATGTGATTTTAGATCATAGTTATCTAGGAAAATAGGAATTTGGTTAAAATTTTATCTGCTAGTTGTCATTCTGTATTGACTCTGTTTGATATCAGTTACGTGCATGGAGATGTAAAGCCAGAGAACTTTTTACTTGGTCAGCCTGCTACAGCACAAGAGAAAAAGTTATTTCTTGTTGACCTTGGATTAGGTGAGTGAAATTTGTTTTATACTCACGTTTACTCTTTATTTTGTCTTCTAAGCTCCTTTCTTACCGCTACCAATGCATAATATTGCAGCAACAAAATGGAGAGACAGTGGTAGTGGGCATCACGTTGAATATGATCAGCGTCCTGATATGTTTAGGTGAGTTAGTTCTTGTTTAGTTGGGTTATACTATTTGGCCCTTCCCTATAACCTTTTGATGCTTTTGGGATATATACAGAGAGGTCATGTGTTATATCTTTAAAAGCCACATCCTAATAATCAAATCATATCAGAGCAAAATGGGTCTGCACTAGGATCTACTTGAGAAGTTTGTTCATTAAATCCAGCCTTGCACATAATGAGCTAGAACTTCAGTACTGTTGTTAGACTATTACCTATTAGCTTCATTTTTTAAGATTAATGAGCTTCAGTAGAGTTTATTCTTTATGATTGTTTCTGATTCTTTTGCTGTTTAATTTTTCCAGAGGAACTGTTCGATATGCCAGTGTTCATGCCCACTTGGGAAGAACTGCCAGTAGAAGAGATGATCTTGAATCTCTTGCATATACTCTCATCTTCTTACACCGAGGCAGATTACCCTGGCAAGGCTATCAGGTACTAGTTATACAATACACTGCTGATTGAAAAAAGAAAAGAAAAGAAATGTATATCTTGTTGAATGCTGTATCTACTTTGATGTTCTTTATTATAAATCACAGCTATACATTTATATTTCTTTTTTTCTAATCTGTTAGGGTGATAATAAATCCTTCCTAGTTTGCAAAAAGAAGATGGCAACCTCCCCAGAAATGCTCTGCTGCTTCTGCCCCCCACCTCTTAAGCAATTTCTTGAGATCGTGGTAAATATGAAATTTGATGAGGAGCCCAACTATTCCAAGCTAATATCATTATTTGAGGGTTTGCTCGGACCAAATCCAGCTGGAAGGCCCATAAATACTGAGGGTGCTCAAAAGGTAATCTTCTTTATATATATATATATATATATATACACAACCAGAACTCAAGTATGTGTGTGCGTGTGCGTGTGCGTGTCTATATATATATATATAGAGAGAGAGAGAGAGACACACACACATACACACACACACACACGCGCGCGCGCGCACGCACACACATACTTGAGTTCTGGTTGCTTATTGCGGGTTATAACTGGAACTCCTTTGCTGTTGCTAGATTATCTATCAAGTTGGCCAAAAACGGGGCAGATTGAATGTTGAGGAAGAAGACGATGGGCAACCCAGGAAGAAGGTTCGTTTAGGAGTTCCTGCTACGCAGTGGATTTCTGTTTACAATGCTAGGCTACCAATGAAGCAGAGGTAGAGCTCATACTATATTTTTCCATGTTAATTGGTTTGTTTATTTTTCTATTTCATGCTCTGAATCACAGTGAGTTACCTCAGATCAAAGTATGTGTGGAATAGGATATGGTCAATTTTCAACCCAGTTTGTCATCTCTTAATTTTATTAGTGATAGAACTAACAAGAAATAAAAGTTCAGGAGAGAAATAAAAAGATAATTTTATGTTAGAAGTTGTAACTGCTTTATTAATTTGTCCTGTGCAATGAATTGCTTCCAGATAATGTTATATCTTGATTCTTGCTCCATCTTGTGAACAAAATGAACCCTAGTTTGATTACATACATTTTAATTAGGTATGTGAACTATAGTCAAAAGTTCAATTTCCTAGCAAGCAAAGATCTGAAAACTGATGGATATTGTAGTAAACCTGTCATGTGAAGGCCGGATTCTGGTGTGCATCATCATCTTGGTGTCTCACTGTTTGGGCTATATGGTTTGCAGGGTGCTTTCTGGATTGGTAATTTGGCTAAAGGGTGAATAACCATATAGACCATAATTGGCAATTTAATTTGAAGACTTTGCTATTGAATATAATTTATGTACCATGCTGTTGCCTGATTACCTGTTCATTTGTCTTGTAATTAGGTACCATTATAATGTTGCTGATGCAAGGTTGGCACAACATATCGAGAGAGGAATGGCTGATGGCCTGCTTATTAGTTGTGTGTCATCTTGTTCTAATCTTTGGGCGTTAATTATGGATGCTGGAACTGGTTTTACTAGCCAAGTTTATGAGCTATCACCTTTCTTCTTACACAAGGTGAATTACTTTATTGCATAATTTGTTTCTTATAATTGTTTTTTCCTCATATAACAATTAAATATCCAATGATACATACAAAACAATTAAAAATTTGCTGTGCACAATTTGCAGGAATGGATCATGGAACAGTGGGAGAAGAACTTCTATATTAGCTCTATTGCTGGTGCTAACAACGGAGGCTCTCTTGTAGTGATGTCCAAAGGTGTGTTTGCATTGTTTGGGTAGTTTATTATATCCGTGGATAAACTTTGTTGCATGGAGAAAATGTGCCTATATATTCCACTGATGTATGTATATCTTTTTTTTTATTTAATGTAGTTTAGTAGTTTCTTTTTGGAAAAAAAAATTGTTGCTTGGAAAAATATGAATTATTTTTATTGTCTTAGGGATTGAATTTGTTCACGCTAATTTTTGCATCATCAGATTGGACATATTTAATAGGAGATTGTTCCTTCCAGATTGGCAATGATTTTCTGGATGAATTTAGTGCTTTTCTGGGTAACACGATATCTTACATGTTTTGCTTGATCTGCTTGACTCTCGACTTCAGAATTATAAATTTTGTAGCCTTGAATTCTTGTGCACACTCTTGAAACACTTCTCAATTTGAGAGAGAGAGAAGAAAGGGGGGGAGTTAGTGTGGGTTTGAGTTCTAACATTACTTATAGGGATGTAAAAAACCTGAGAATACATCACATTAGTTCAGCTGTCTTGTCGAAAATCTCAGATGCTCACAGGTGATGACTTGTTCCTAGGGTCTATTCCCCTCTTTCAGGGCATCATCCGGAACATGTGTGCTTGGTATTTGCTGGTTATTTTTGAAATAGGAAGGGTTGGACACATTTTAACGAAAAAATCTGTCTCTTGATGCATCTTTAAGTTTGATTTATTTTTCTGTCATTCAGTAGTCAAACATGTCAATTTTAATAAAAGTTTATTTTGGTGGCATGGTTACTTAGTATTCTATTTCAGCCTATTTCTTACATAGTTGTGACCTAATTTGTGCAGGCACCCAGTATACTCAACAGTCTTACAAAGTGAGTGACTCCTTTCCCTTCAAGTGGATAAATAAGAAGTGGCGAGAAGGGTTTCATGTAACCTCAATGGCAACTGCTGGAAGCCGATGGGGTGTTGTTATGTCTCGCAATGCTGGCTTCAGTGAACAGGTTGAATATCAGTTGTCTTGTTCTCATTTTTGACTCTGGAATAGCTCTATATAGCTCTCTAATTTGTGCTGGGTTTCCTTAGGTTGTGGAACTGGATTTTCTCTATCCAAGTGAGGGTATCCACAGACGATGGGATAGTGGTTATCGAATTACGTCAACAGCTGCAACTTGTGATCAAGCGGCTCTTATCTTGAGTGTTCCCAGGCGCAAACCTGGTGATGAAACTCAGGAAACTTTACGTACTTCTCAATTCCCAAGTACACATGTTAAGGTAAACAATACTTCACAATATGCCATGTTGATACTTAATGGTCTGTTCTTCAAATCACTCTTAATGGTGTTAAATTTTTTACTTACAATAGAAAGAATCAGGGTCCATATCAGCTGCAGAATGAGGAATTCTCGTTTTATGGCATCTCACAATTGCTGTACCTGAAAATTTATTAGTGTAACTGTTTATGTGATTGGTTGGAGCTTGTTTAATTATTCTCTCATGCGAACGTCCTGATATTTTGAAAGTCCGGATCCTGATGTGAGGAATCCACTAACAGTTATAACTTTTGAGTTTTCTGATGCGAGAAATATGGTTTAAATTAGTGGGATTCTTCACCCCAAGAATCATAGTTTGGATTTTCTTTAAAAAAAATTAGAATTGGTCTTCTGAAATTTGGATTGGTTTTTATTGTATCTGTGACAGTTTTTCGCCGATTAATTTGTTGAACGGCATTATAATTCTTGGATATTTTCATAATTTTGGATTCACAGTTTGTTTACGCATTGTGTTGTGTTTTGATGTGCAGGAAAAATGGGCGAAAAATCTGTATCTTGCCTGTCTATGCTATGGGCGAACGGTATCTTGAAATCACCTATTTGAAGGAGCATGGAGGGGATTTTGATGCTTATATAAAAAAAGAAAAAGTGGTAGATCTTGTTGATCCCATATTCTCCTCTAATTTTGCTGAAGATGTAAAAAATGGTAGTAGGTGATTTAGTTGAGAATTTTTATTCACATGTAATGTTATTATATATTATATATATTTTTATTCAACAAGCATTGCTTTTTGCTCCTTTTCCTTTATCTTGAAGCTTTCACATTCTGGTTTCTCTTCCCTTAATCTTGACTCTTGAGTTGCCTCAGATAATAGATTTCTTGTATTTTAGATCAGTGTTTTAAAACCCGGCCTGGTTGGTTGAACCGGTTCAATTGGGACTAGAGGCCTTCATCGGGTTGGGTTACCAATTTTATTATTCATTGAAAACCATATAAATTAGGATGATGATTAACAAATAATTGAAGGTTGGGATGCAGGGGTTTTGAAGAAGGGTTGATGAGTGAAAAGGTGGTGATGGAGGTGATTTCCGATAGGTGAAACAATCGAAAATCGCAAAATTAAATCGGCGATAACAACAGGTTGTTGGTGATTGGTGAGGCAAACAAGGGTGGGGTGAAATGGTTTCTGTAAAGAGTCTTTGAGTGAAGAGTTTTTGTGAATTTTTATAAGTTTTTGTTGGATTTCAAACTTTTTTGCCTATTGAGTATTTACATATCAGTTTAATCGTTAAACTGATTGAATCGGTCAACTTGAAATTCGGTCATTTTGTCAGGTTTTACTTTTACCTTGGGTTATAACTTTTAATAGCTTGTTTTAGATAATGTCCAAAATGAGAATAAAATTTTGTTGAAGACATCATAATTATTATCAATTTTCGCATCGAAAATTCTTTTCATCCAAATAATAATATGATATACCTATTATCTTAAAATGGGTGTATATATTTTCTGCTTGACATTGAAGGATAATATTATTTATTTCTAGAATTATAGGGTTTAAAAGTAAAAAAATAAAATAAAAAATTACATGAACATGATTGACTGCTAAAGCCAATTAAACTCTATTACTGTAATTAAATATTTGATTGGTTGGTAAAACTGAAAATATAATTCAATTTTTATTTTCAAGCTAAAGCCAATAAAACTGAATAACTCAATATAATTTTAATGATGGAAGTTGGATTAATTTTTATAAAATAATTTGTCAAACAAGCTGAAACAATTATTTTAAACCCATAAATACAATCTAATTTTAATTTGATGCAAAATTGAAAAAATTTCTAAATAAAATAACCATATATTTAATTATTTATTTGTTTATTTATTTAAAGTACCGTGAAAATGATGACGTGTCAATCTTAGACCCATGTAATAAATAAGATTAGATTCTTCCTGTTATAATATATCGTTTCTGAGAAATAAACCAAAAGCTCAAGAGAGAAGAAGATATGGCTTCTTCTTCTCATCTCTTAACTCTCCCACAACGCTTCTCTTTTACCTCTAAAATCCCTTCACATCCCTGTAAGTTCCCCCTTTTCAGCTTCTTCCCAACTTCTGTAACAATATAACTCATAACATGAACTGGGTTTACTTCGGTTCTCATTTTAATTCATTTTATTACTTGGATGGACTCTCAACTTTAAACTTTTAAGAAAAGGGTCTGTGTTGTTTGCTCTGAAAATGGTTTCTTTTTCCTCGTTTCCATTTCATTTCGGTCTCTTATCTCTTGAAGTTTGTGGAAACTATATGTATATGTAAGAAGTTTGGAAATGATTGTAGGAGAGTGACACCGAAAGAGTTCAGTGGTTCATTTTTATATTTAATTTCAAGTGTAAGAAAGAAAATGTAGTGCACTTTGAAGATATAAATAGGTTTTCTTTTTTTTTTTTTTTTTCCTTACCATGCCATGATGTTCATTTTTGTAATAAATGGCAGCTAAGTCCAAGTCAGTTGGGGTTCATGTGAAGTGCAGCTTTCAAAATGAGAGTTGTAATCCAGAAATTTCTGGCAGCTTGGAGAAGAAGACTAATTCTAAGGTTTAATTTTATTCATTCTGGCTATTTTGTTATTTGTTCTGATGTTCTAAGGCATATATACATTTGATTTGATCATTAACGGTTGCATTTGTGTCACTATAGGAAGCTCAAACATCAACATCTCGTCGTCTGTGTCTCGCGTGTTTATGTTCAAGTATAGCTTTGATTAATGTCGCTGGCACATCAGTTTCTGCATTGAAGGCAGTTGCATCGGATGGAAAAGAAAGACCTGTATGCAGAAATTGTGGGGGTAGTGGAGCTGTTCTTTGTGAGTGTTCCTTTCATCTTCCTTTTGTATCTCCCTTTGTGATTTAGGTATTGTCAATGTAGAAATTTCAGAAAAAAAAATTCCCCTGTTTGTCTTGGAAAGGTGTTCACTCTTACTTTTGAAGTTGCCAGCCTGATGCAGTTCTTGTTTAGAAATTGAGACTGTGGAAACCTAAGCATAAATTTCGTATTGGTTAACTCTCGTTATCTTTGAGTTGATTAAGTGGAACTTAGTTGTCTGTAATCCTCATTGGTATAGGACTGATTATAGGTTCATTAATCTGTTCTAATTCTATGGTCTTTTGGTTGTTGAGGAAGTGAGGTATGAAACTCTTCTAGGAAATAGCAGCTATTGAACGGATATTTATCGCTTCTGATTTTGCTATCTGGTCTTTATAAGATTTTAATTTGCTCTTTGTTTAGGTGATATGTGTGGTGGTACCGGAAAATGGAAAGCTCTCAACAGAAAACGCGCAAAAGATGTTTATGAGTTTACAGAATGTCCAAATTGCTATGGTATGCACTTCTCCACAAGTAGTCTCACCTATCAGCTATATTAGTCACTAAAATTCAAATATTGAAGTTTGAAGGGCATATTATTAAGTGGGGACTGGGGACTGCAGAAATCACCCTGGTCACAGCCTTGAATTTGCGCTATCAAAGCTTGAAGAAATTTTTCGTATTAGAAAAAATCATGATGCCATATGATTCCCAAATGTTTTTACATTATTGACATTAGTCTTGAGTCTATTTCTTGTTTTAGTTATTGGCTCTGCGAGTTTTCCCGTATTTCCTTTTCCAAATATACAGACATTTATGTTCTTTGACCCCTCATTGGTATCTTTTTTGTGGGCAGGTCGTGGGAAACTTGTTTGTCCGGTTTGTTTAGGAACAGGTTTACCAAATAACAAAGGTCTTCTTAGGAGGCCTGACGCGCGGAAATTACTCGACAAGATGTATAATGGTCGATTACTGCCAAATTCTTAAGTATGTCCTTTCATCTTTCATGAATTTAGGCTGTGCAATGTGTTATGAGTTAATGTTATTTGACAATATGACTTCTGCAGGTACTGGATTTTCGACTGATTATGCTTCCAGAAGATGAATGAACCCAGGAATTGTAGATAATGTCATTGTCTCCCCCAGTACAATGCATACATGAGGCTTTTTTGGTCTGTATAATAGCCCCGAAAGTGGCCTAAGTTTTAAATCTTTACAGGCTTCTTTTTCTTTTTGTCATTTTTTTATTTCTTTCGAGCAAATATGGTTCCAACTTGCTAATGCAAAAATGTAGTATGCTATATTACTCCTCATAACAGCAGTCATTTTTGGATCTAAACTCGTTTTCTCTCTGAATGGTATTTGTTCTTGATGCCGATTTACGATATTTTTATGGAGCCCAAGTTTGAGCAAAGTAAAATGCAATGAGATGTCAAGTTTCAACTTTGAGAAAACAGTATGCAATAAACTTTTTGCATTCTGAAGTTCTCTTGTCAAAAATGTAACATGTTGAATCATTCATCATGCAAACCATCTCTTTATCCAGAATTTTTAGGATCTCAAGTACTAAAAGAGAACCTTCAACAAGCAAGAAAACTTTCCATCTCACTTCCTTCAGAAGTAAGGAATGAAGGTTCCCAATCCCTGTAACATTACATATATGCCAAAAACCTCGATGTACAACTATTTGCCTCCGCTCATCGTGTACTCTCGGTAAACCTTTTTCATCCACCAGGAATATAAGTGCTATAACAGTATTGCTATCTCATCCTCCCGACGACAAAAATTTGATTCATTTTACTACGAAAACAATATGATTGACAGAAAAGAAAAGCTTGTAGAAGTCAACTGATGGCATGAGTGAGATACTAAAAATCAAGGCTAAGTGTTGTTGGGAAGCCTGTTTTGAACGGTGTGTTCTGGCTTGTGTTCACATTCATAGTCAAGATGAACAAATGCTCTTTCAACTTCAGGGAGTTTCTCAATCTTGTTCTGCAAGGTCTCTCCGATAGTGTGTGCTTCTTTTAAAGGTAATTCTTCAGGGAGCTCAATGTCAACCTTTTGCAAGAGAATGGAGAAGAACAGAGATTCATTAAACACTTGCACATAACATAATCAATAAAACTGAAAGAACACGAGATATGAACAACTATTAACCAGAAACCAGATATAATATTACCAACCTCAACAAAATAAAGTACGCCAAAAGTGTAAGCACGAACTGTGTCGATACGCTTGACTTTAGGGTGCCTTATGACTAGATAAGTCAATTTCTGCAAGATTTCAGGAGAGGCTGATTCTCCCACAAGTGAAACTGCATCCATATGATTCATTTAGAATGGTTGTAGATAATACAATTACAAACAAGGAAGCATACTTTAAATGTAACAACAGAAAGCTAAGCAATTTCTTGAAGTACGTAGGAGAGCTCATGAGCTCATTATACTTCAGAAAACAATAAAAAACACTACTAGTCAGTGGTAGAACGTGGAAGACTCTTAAATGGATGCTTGGAAAATGAATCAGAAGAAACTGAAAAACTCAACTCAACATAATAAAGCCTCAATCGGCATCAGCTGCATAAATCCTTTCCCCCAACATTCATAATCCAGGCCATACTTTCATGCTTTGACAAGTCGGTAGTTTTTCGATATTTTATCGACACAATCTTTCATTTTCCGGTTTTATCTTCCGAGTGTTTTGAAACACTATTTTGTACCATAGCACCCATGACCAAACCATCTCAATTGACCTTCCCTTAACTCCCCTGCATCCACTTTAACACTCTAATTTCTGGCACATGCATTGAATGGGATATCATTATATTTTTCTTCTGCTCAACACCAGTTTTCCAAAGCATTGTTGAAGTTACACCCGTTCCCTTCTACATGAACATGATACTCCAACCTTCATTCA